AGGTGACAGAGTAGAAACTGGCCCCTAGGGTTTCAGAGGCTGTAATCTTTACCAGAGCAGATTTCCAGGTCTTTTCTCCCATGGAGCAGCTGATGGGTTCAAACTGTTGACCTTTCAGTTATAGCCAAGCACTTAACCATTGATCTACTAGGGTTCCTTAGGGATAACGGTGGAATGAAAAGAACCCTGAAGGCAAGTTGGCATCATTCCTGCCAAGTTACTTAACCTCTCTGGGCCTCAGTTTGCTTCTCTGTAGAAGAGGAGTACTAACTGCACCTGCCTTGTTAGGGTTATTGTGATGAATGAATGAGGAGATACACATAAAGTCCTTAGGACAGTGGTACATGTATGACTCATGGACCTCAACTAATGGGGTGGTTCTGGGAACATTTCTTACTTCCTAGTGAATCATTTCTCATCTATAAAAGGGTTTGAACAGCCCCATGATTTTGAACTTTTCTGAGTGGGTACAGCTTTAAGAAACCAATGAATGCAATGGACCAAGACTATAGAATAATATATATTTGAGAACAATTTCCAGGTAATCACGGGCTCTTGAAGTTCAACTATGGACCCAGGTTGAACATTCCTTCAACACTGGTGCCCTGGGTCTCTGAGATGCTCATGATTCTTGATAACTGCTTTCATGGAAAAATATAAAGTTTAAAGAAAAATGAAAGGCAGGCAATTTCCCTTACTCTAGGTAGCACAAACAGTTTGGAACTCTGGTAGCATAGTGCCTAAGGCACTTGACTGCTAACCAGAAGGCTGGTATTTCAAACCCACCAGCCACTCCTCAGAAGGAAGGTTGGGCAATCTACTTCCGTAGTGATATTGCCTCAGAGACCCAAAGAGGAGTCACTATGAGTAGGGTCCGACTCAATGGCACATAACAACAACAACAACACTAACTTAAGGTGGGTGGTTTGAACTTACCCATTGGCACCACAGAAGAAAAGCCTGGTGATCTGCTTCTGTAAAGATTACAGCTCAAAAAACCCTATGGAACAGTTGTACTCTGTAACACATGGGATTGTAATGAGTTGGACTTGACTTGATGGCAACGAGTTTTTCTTTTTCTGTGTGTTTCTCTTTCCCTAGGCATGGAAATAAATACTTGTTTTTTTTTTTTTGATTGCATATGGTTGTTTGTCCTAAGGGGTGCATACCTCTGTGGTGTTACTGTTCACCTTATAGGCCTATTATTTGGCTGAAAGTTGAGCCACAGGAGTGACTTCAGTTCCAGCCTTGAAGAGACAAAGTCCAGAAGGCAGGAAGGGATAGCACCTTTTGAAAAGGTGTTATGATCGGAATGGATGAATGGAAACAGGAAACACAGGGAGGAAGTGAGATGAATGCTGTTACATTGTGGAGACTGTTATTAGTGTCATGAAATAAAATACACAGGAATTGTTGACTATAAACTAAATTGCTCTGTAAACTTTCACCTAAATCACAATAAAAAGTTAACCAGAAAAAAAAAAAAAAAGAAAAGAAAGAAAGACCTGTCATTTTTCAAAGAAAACAGATAACTCTGTTCTTGTCTTTCCTCTTCCTTTCAGTGCCTAAAAGGTGTGCTGTTTTTGTTGTTAGACTTATTTATTTTTTGTTTCATCTCCATCTGTGGTCTATGTCCTAGTAAGATGATTCTGGGTCAGTTTTACAGGTTAAAGTAAGATTGAGGAAGTGGGGGGAAAAAAGGGAAGAAAAGAAAGCACGGGAATTGTGTTCCAACTGGTGTTAGGTGTGTGTGCCTGTGTGCTTATCTAAGGAGTGAGTGTTCTTCAGTCTAAGAACATAAATTAGAGGCTCAGAGAAGTTAAATGACTTGACCAAGGTCACATAGTTATTAGGAGGGATTATGCCTCCAACCACTATGAAATAAAATTTATTGAAAATCTATGTGTTGGTGAACAAAATAGTTTGGGTTTCTGTCCCCATGAAGTCTTTATAGACCAATGGGGGAGACAGAAACCAACACTCCTTTCAATTTTCTCTGTCTTGCTCATTGGTGGTAAGTTTAGTGAAGGACACGAACAGGGGGCTGAGAGAGCAAAGGAAGGAATGAGCAATCAGAACAAGGCTCTCTGAGGAGGTGGTACAATGCAGAGAAGGAGGTGGCTTTTTTTTTTTTTTTTATTGTGATTTGGGTGAAAGTTTATAGAGCAAATTCAGTTTCCATATAGCAGTTCACATATACTTTGTCTCATGACATTGACTGCAATCTTCCACAATGCAACAACTCTCTTTCCACTTCCTTCCCATACTTACCTCTTCCCTATGTCCTTTCCTCCATGCACTCCTGCCTCCCCCCTCCTCCAGCTATCTCCCTGTGCATAACAGGTCTTCTATTCACCCATGATTGATCTCTCCAAGGAGTGTATCTGCCTAATGTAAATGTTCAACTCATATACCTGTCTTTTGTTTGGCTGGAAGCCACAGGTGTGGGTTCAATTCCATACCTGAAGGGCAGGTAGGTGCCATAGTCTCAGGGGTTCCACCAGGCTCTATCAGCCCAGCAAACCAGGTCCTTTTCTTTTTTTTTTAATGATTTTGAGTTTTGTTCCACACTTTTCTCCCACTCTATCCAGGAGCTCTTACATAGATCCCCCTCCAAGTGGTTGACAGTGGTAGCCAGGCACCATCTAGTTCTTCTGGTCTCATAGTCATATAGGCTGAGGATTGCATGGTGTACCAGTCCCTTGGACTAATTGTTTCCATGTGTCTGGTTTTCTTCATTCTTCTCTGCTCTGGACAAGGAGAGAGATCCATCGTTGCATCTAGATGGCTGCTTGGAAGCTTTTAAGATCCCAGTCACTACTCACCAAAGTAGGATGTGGAACAATGTTTTTGTGTAGTATGTTATGAAAATTGAGCTCAATGTCCCCTGCAGCCATGGTCCCGAGCCTACAGGTCCAACTACTTGCTCCATCCGGGTAGCTGGCTGTGGCCAAGAAGTGACTACAACCTTGACCCTTGTCAGCTTTACATATACCTGGAAATTCTACAGAACATACAAATACACTTGTAGAAACATTGTCTGCCAATCCTATACATGGTCATGGGCACACTCCCCTGCACAGACATATATAATCATTCAGCCTGTCCACCCACCTATCAACGTTTAAGGAGGTGGTCTTTTGAAAAGATGGGGAGGAAAATATTCCAGGCAGAGAAAAAGCTCTCTGAAGTGGAAAAGAATTTGGTTTATTTAAGGAACTGAAACCTGGCCAGTGATGCTGGGGCATGGTGGGCAAGGAGAGAAGTGGCAGCAAATGAGCCTGAAGAGGTGGGCAGGGGCCAGGTCATGTAAATCCTTGCAGACCATGCTAAAGAGCTCAGATTTGACTGTAAGAAGAATATGGGGGTTATAGAAGCCTTTTAAGCAAGCAAGAGACCAATCTAATTTAGGGTGTACAAATTCTACTGGCCTCTTGGTGTAGAGTAGACTACTGAGATGCAAGAGGGAGCAATGCCTCTATTACCTCAGTTGTTACCCAAAAAGGTGGCACCACCACTCAGGGGTTTTTCAGAAATGTTGGGGGTATTTTGGGTGGACAGAATAATTGGTGCTGAGCCCTACTGACATTTAATGGGTGAGGGCCAGGGATGCTAAACATCTTGCAATGTGTGACATAGTCCTCTCTCACGTGGAGTCATCCCCACTCTCAGCTGGCTTTTGGATATTCCTACCAGGTAGCAATGCTCTGGTAGCATAGTGCCTCAGGCACTTGACTGCTCACCAGAAGGCTGGCGGTTCAAACCCACCAGCCACTCCTCAGAAGGAAGGTTGGGCAATCCTACTTCCGTAGTGATACTGCCTCGGAACCCAAGGAGGGGTCGCTATGAGTCGGGGTCGACTCGACAGCAAACAACAAACAACCAGGTAGTAATGGAGGTGAAACACTTGTTTATAATTAACTGCATGACGCTCCTAACTCTGTTTTACATATAAAAACAAAGTATTCTCCCAAGGAAACTTTACCAAGAGTTGTTTATCACTTCAGGGAATCACTGTACTGATACTCAGCTTTTAAGTCCCCAACTCAGTAAGTGTTTCTAGGTGTCACATTCACAGTGACTCTCCATATAGAAGCAAGCCAAGCACCACTTCTTTAGATCTTCTAGTACAGTCATGCCTGAAATCATTACCAATGACTTTTCTTTAGTTTTCCTTTATATTATGATAGCATCTATGTTGTGAGGGAGTCCTGGGTGGTGCAAATTATTAATGTGCCCAACTGTTAAATGAATGGTGGAAGGTTCAAGTCCACCACGAGGCATCTTGGAAAAAATACTGGAGATTCATTTCCAAAAAATCATCCAATTCTATTCTGACCCACGTGGGGTCACCATGAACTAAAGTTGACTTGATAACAAATTGTATTACGACAATTATTAGTATTATGACAATTTGTGGATTTAAGCGTTATTAGGTAAATACGTTTTTAAAATTATCTAAGAATTCACTTCAGGATGATAAAGGGGCATTACAAGTCTATTTGAAAGGGTGCCATGAAAGCATCTGAAGATGTTGAGAACACTACTCTAATTTCTGCAGTGGTCACTATTATTAGCCACGTTTATAAAGGAGACCTTGAAGTTTGGAGAAGTCAGCAACTTGCCGAAAGTTACACAGCCAATAAAGAATGGAGCCTGGGATACGAAAATACCAAAACCAAACTCACTGCCATTGAGTCAATTCTGATTCACATCGACTCCCACTGAGTTTCTAAGGCAGTAAATCTTTTCAGAAGTAGATTGCCCCATCTTCCTTCCACAGAGTGGCTGATGGGTTCGAACTGCCAACCTTCTGGTTAGCAGTCAAATGCTTTAGGAACTGCACCACCTGAGCTCCTTGGAGCCTGGGATAGATACTGCAAAGCATGACTTTTTAGCACTTTGCATTGCTGCCTTTTGGTGACCCATACAGGGGGCACTCAGCTGTGGACACAGGCCCTTGAGCTCTGTTGAATTCCCTTTGAATAGGGAGTGCTTACCCGTCCAAGCTCCTTGTCCTCCAAGGCTAGGACACCGGTGCTCTCTGTGAACAGCTTCACCTTCACAGCAGGCAGTGCGTGGGTTGTTGAGAAGTCACCCTGGGTGCCCCAGCTGTGGACAGAATCAGAGAAACACAGTGTGAAGGCCTCTGGCTTGACAGTACTCAACTCAGTAGCTTCCTTTCCTCAGTTGAGTGAATGCAGGGTTAACCTCAGGCAGTATTGGCTGTCACATTCCCCTCTCCTTCCTTCCAAAGCTGCCAGAGTGACAAAAAGTGTTAATTAACTTGTTAGGCTAATGCAAGATAGATGCTCAGAAAGTTGCAGCAGTCTTCTTGCAGAGCACTATAAAGGAATCATATGGAATTAGTATGAAATCAAGTTGGTGAGAACTTTCCCCAAGTATTCATTATGTCTCCAAATTATTCTTCCGAGGTAATTACTAATTTTTCATTGCTTCCTTTGAATCCCAAGTTTTGCATTCTAGATTAAAAAAAAATTTTTTTCCCCCATTTGGTCCAAGGCAACACCTGACTTTAAAATGAGACAGCAGCAGCAGTGGTAGAGAGGAGGAAACCCTGTTTCCACTGGCATTCAGTGATGGGTTGAATATAGGGGTGAATGGAGCTTAGCCCTATCCAAGAGGGCTTGGGAGATAGAAGGATGAGGATATGGGAAATGCCATTCCCTGTTCGCTGGTCTATGGGTACCCAAGTCGTGTCTCCCCAGGGGAGAGCCTGATTTTATCCAGCACCTCGGCAGAGGGCCAGGCTTGGCTGATTTGAGCCCCTAAAGACACCTCAGAGATGGCGCCTTCATTCACTCACCATCATTCTTACAGAACCATCTCTATCCTCTAGCCTTTCTGTACCTGCAACTGGAGTGATCTTCCAGAAATGTAAGCTGGATTGCATTGAGTCCCTGCCCTAAAGCCTTTCAAGGCTCCACTGCACTCAGGCTGCAATCCAGACTCATTAGTATGCCCCTATTAATTGGGTCCAGTCTCCTGGGCCTGCCATCTCAGGGACTTTACCCATGTAGTTCCCTCTATCACCAATGCTTTGCCCTACCCCACTTTCACTTAGCTATCTCTTCAGGTCTCAGCTTAAATGCCACTTTCCCAGAGAAGATATCCTTTGATAGCCCATTCTAAATTTGGTTCCAGTGTTATATCTCTTTAACATACTGTTTAATTTTCCTTCCTAGCCATCGTTGGTTTGTAATTCAGTTTATTTGCATGACTATTTAATAGCTGAATCTCCTAATATTCTGTAAACTTCATGAGGGTGGGGACTTTGTAGATTTTGTTTTTGTATACCCAGTACTTAGCATAGTGCTTGGCACATAGAAGACAGCTAATATTTGTTGAATGAACTAATAATGACAAATATATGTTCTTTCTCAGAAATACAAAAGATGAAACTTTTTTTGTGTGTGATCCCTGACCTATTGATTAAACCACTGCTGACAAGTAGGTTCTGACTCAAAGTGACCCTGAACAGAGTACACTGCCCCATAGGGTTTCCAAGGCAATAAACCTTAAAGAAGCAGACTACCAAATCTTTCTCTGACAGAGTGGCTAGTGGATTCAAACTGCTATATTTTGGTTAGCAGCCAAGTGCTTTAACCACTGTGCTGCCAGGGCTCCTTTGTATGATCCTAGTTACACGAAATATCTAGACTAGGTATATGCATGGAGATGAAAGTAGATGAGTAATTACAGGGGTCTTGGGGGAGTGGGAAATGAGG